ATCTTTCAGGACATGAAACACTCTTTCCAGTCCCTTCTGACTTTAAAGATTTGTATTAAATAGTCAGGTGTTATTTTAATAGACCTGTTTTTATAAATGACTCAGTCTTTCTCTCTTGAATCTTCTAATACGGTTTCACTATTCTGAATCTTTAGTATTTTATTCATTATTCTGTAGACCTCCTTTCTCTGCATAGGCATCTCTTTCTCTAGGTTTTGGTAATTTCCTTCTATGATTTTACTATAGACATTTTCTTTGCCCTTGCTATAGTTTTCTTCTCCTTCTATGATGATAATTCAGAAGGTAGGACTTTTCATGGTATTCCCAAACTCTCCTATGTTCCTTTCACATCTTTAAAAAAGTTTCTTGCAATGTATTGAATGAACAATTTCCTCTACTTTATCTTTTGTTACTGACTCTTATTGTTGACATGATCCATCTTATTGGTGAGTCTTTCCTTTGTGTTTTATAATTGGTTCATTGAATATTTAATTTCAGCATTATTGATATGGTGGTTTGAATAACCCCGATGGGGTGAAATATTTGAATGCTTAGTCATCAGAGAGTGGCACTTCTTGGGAGGGATTAGGAGGTGTGGCCTTGCTAGAGTGGATATGGCCTTGTTGAAGAAAGTGTGTCTCTGGGCATAGGCTTTGGGGTTTCAAAAGTTGAAGCTAGGCCCAGTGTCTCTCTTTTCCTGCTGCTTCTGGATATGTATGTAGAGCTCTCAACTACTTCTCCAGCACAATGTCTGCCTGAAAGCTGCCATGTTCCCTGCCACGCTGACAATAGACTAAAAGCTCTGAAACCATCATCAATGCTTTTTTTCCCCCTAAAAGTATCCATGGTTATGATTTTTCGTCCCAGCAATAAAACATTGACTAAGGTCATTAAAGTCTGAATTTTCTTTAAAAATTCAAACTCTATTTTCATACCTTGTATTGGTTTCCTCATTTCACTCATCTCTTTATCTTTGTCTTCTTGGAGTTGTATATTAGCTACTTCACTGTGATAAAACACCATGCCAAACACAACTTCTGTAAGGAAGGGTTTATTTGGACTTGTGGTTCCAGAGAGATAAGAGTCCATCATGGCAGGGAAACCTCACTCATGATAGTGCGAGTAGCAAGCTAAAGCTCATATCTTGAACCACAAGTGCAACACAGAGAGAAGAAGCTGCGAATAACAAGGGTCATAAATTCTAAAACCTTTCCTCCAGTGATATAATTCCTCTAACAAGGCCACACCCTTAAACCAGTGGTTCTCAACCTTCCTAATGCTGTGATCCTTTAATACAGTTCCTCATGGTGTGGTGACCCAACCATAAACTTAATTTCATTGCTACTTCAGAGCTGTAATTTTGCTGCTATTATAAATTGTGATGTGAATATTTTTGGAGATAGAGGTTTGTTATAGGGATCATGACCCACAGTGGGAACCACTACCTTAAACCACCCCAAATGCTACCAAGAACTGGGGACCAAGTATTCAGATGCCTGAGATGATGGGTGATATTTCATTTCAAACCATTCAAGTTGTTCGACCATACTTATAATTATTTTTTAATTACTTTTTTGTAAATTCTTCTTCCATTTTATTTTCATTACTAACCACAACTATAGAATTGGTATTTTTTTTGGAGATGGCATTTTATTTCTTTTAATGTTATTTTTATTTCTTTATTGGGATTTACACATCTGAAGTTAATTTGTTTATTGGGGTTTTTCTTTTTTTTTCTGTGTTTTTTTTTTCTCTAATTTACCTTCTTTCAGTAGAGGTGTTTACAGTGTTCATGATGAGGTTAATTCATAGCAGCGCTGGGATATTGGTTTCCTCTGTTTGCCTATCCAGGTCTGTGGTTTCCCTGCTTTAGACTGGTACCTTCATCAGTTTAGTCCAGGAGCCTGGAATAAATTTTCTCTGGCAGTGTGGGCTGGTCTTGTGGCTCAAGGCTGGATGGAACAACTGGAGGGTCCCAGTCAAAGAGCTGGCAGGGCTCTGGAACTCTGAATCATGTATGTGAGCTGAAGGTTCTCTAGTTGACACCTGGCAAGTACCAAAGGGAAGGAAAAGGCCTGAGAGAAGATGGTTATCTCTGACAAGCAGTTGAGGACTTAGTCTACTTGGTCTTCTACAACCTTGGGTCCCTACCACATGTGATGGCTACAGTGTCCCCAGTAGCAAGCTACAGTTTTCTTTCCATCATAAGGAAACTACCCAACACTTTAATCATTACGAGATTCTTTAAAAGGAGAACTAACCACAGCTCTCTAGTGTGGACTTGTTAGACTGGCACGCGGAAGTCTAATGCAGGGTTGATACAAATAATTATACAAGTCAAATGAAGTTAGAGAATAGATAAGAGCAGAGCAGACAGATAGAATAGATAAAATGAAATCCGAGAATAGATAAAAGCAATGCAAAGATTTGGACTGCACATGTTGGTTAAATATAGATGCCAAGGTTGTTTTGCTTAAACACAGTGACTGCTTGCTTCATGAGTACCATCATGACCAATACTTTTTAAGATAGCTATTCTGAAACCCCAGGTGGAGGTGATGAGCCCTAGTCTTCTCACTTTTTTGGAACTTCTGGGAAAATTGATCTAACTAACTTGAAATTTATTTATGAAGTCGATCTCTAGTCTATGTTTCTAGCTTATAGAAAACATATTTTCAATGCAATAATAGACTCAGATGTGAATAAGGACACCCGTAGGATATCTGTTTCCTTGAAACAAGTAGTCACAAACTCAGGGACTTACTGTAGAAATGATCCTTCATTTTCTCTCTCAGTTTCCGTGGGCCAGGAGCCCAGAGGTGTACTTGGGGTCTGGTTTTCAGAGGATAAGTGAAGCTTCCATAACCTCAAGTCTTTGTCAGCCACATTCTTGGTGAATGGATTACTCAAGTGTGAACAGCGGGGGCTCTTCTAGAAAACTCTAAGCAATCTCTGCATTTGACCTCGGTTCCAGGCTGATTAACATGAAGGAAATTACCTCTCTCTCTCTCTCTCTCCTTCTCGCCACCCCAGTTTTTCTGTCAGGTTTACTGATGTTGAAACTAACTTCCAGGTACAGCCCGAGTTGTCACGATTCTAAAACTAATGATAGAGGTAGAGTTTCAGTCTCTGCTATCAAAAAGACAATGTTATGTCATGGTTGAAAGCCTGGTTCACGCTACTTCATTTGAATCCCACTCAGTAATCAGGGTAAATTTTTGAAGTTTTTTTGGGTGTTTTCCTTGTACTGTAAAGCAGGGATTGTAGCAGGACTTACCCCAAAGCATGGGGAAGGAGGTGAGAAGGAGACCCAGGAGAGCAGGGAGCACCCCGAACGCAACATCAGTGCTTGGTGCATGCTGCTTCCTATAAGTGATGAACGTGTAATAAATTCTCCCTCCTTTTAGCTCACCCATGAATTAAGGTTATCTCTGAATCCAGCTTTCCCTCACTTTTGAGCACCACTCCTGCACTTAAATGGAGTATGGAGGCTATGAAAGGGCAGTGATATAGGGTCCCATCCTCATGAAGTGAGCCAGGTACTGGCCTTGACTGTGCAACATGCAAACTTCTAAGCCACTAATGATTTCATAGCCATGGTGGCTGCTGTAGAATGCCCAGCAATGAAGATGTGACATGTGCCTTTGGTTGGAACTCAGTAGCAATACTTCCAGCACTCCATTTCAGATGCTCTTTGTCCAATTAGAGGTGTGACAGGGACCAAAAAAGATGGATGGGACTCTGGGTACAACCATTCCAATTGTAATTTTCCTATTGATTTCTAACCAGAATGACAAGACTATATGGACTAGCAATGGAGACTTTAATAAAAGGGAGAAGAGTAGATGGGTCTATTACAATAGGCAACCAAAGTTCTGGGAATTTGTTGGTCTCATGGAAGGATCCAGTGAATCCCTTGACTTCTGATTTGGCCAGTTCATATTATGAGACTATTTTTATCGGGGCTGTTCTTTTGCAAATTGTGCCTCACTTTCCTTCTGTTTTGGTTTTCTTTTCAAACTTCAGGTGCACTTGTATGCGTGTGTACATATTTGTGTGTGTGTGTGTGTGTGTGTGTGTGTGTGTGTATGTGTGTGTATTGTGTGTATGCATGTGTGTGTATGTATGTACTGTGTGTATGGGTATGTGTGCATATGTGTGTATGTATGTATGTGTGTGTGAATATGTGTTCATGTGTGTATGTATGAATATGGGTATGTGCGTGTATGTATGTGTGTGTATAAATATGTGTGTGTATGTATGTATGTGTGTGTATGAATATGTGTATATGTGTGTATGTATGTGTGTGTAGGTAAATAGACTCAAAGCTGACCCTAGGAATCTTAGTTAATCACTCTCCACCTTATTCATTGAGGCAGAGTCTCTCCATTACAGCCCAGAGCTTGTAGCTTAAGCTAGCTTAGCTAGTCAGCCCTCGCTGGGATCCTTGTCTGTGTCTCCCAAGCATCTGGATTACAGGCAAGCGCCACGCCCACCTGGTGTTTGTGTGGATTCCAGAGATTTAACTCACATCCTCATACTTAAACAGCAGTTGCTCTACCCATGGAGCCGTCTCCTAGCCCTTCCACTTTAGGCTTACCTGGTCACGGTCAGCAAAAGCGCTGCAGACCGTCCAGTGAGTTTCCAGGAGGAGATTTACGTGGGTTCAGCATGAATTATGTGCTGTTCTCTGAGTAAATGGAAACAGCACCCTGATTGGCTGGCCAAACCCAATCCCCTTAGGTGAAACAGAAGTATTGAATTCAGCCTTCACATTTTAAGAGGAGGGGAAAGGTTGGTGGCTTCAAAGTAAAATTGGAACATTGTTCCCCCAAAAAGGCAAAGGGAAAGTCAAAACTGACAGATCCTGTTCCAAGTGAGGGTTCAGGATGCAGGACATCAGCACACACACATGTAAAACCGTGAGCCAAGAAACGTTAGTGCAACAGATGGGTAAACCTGATGTGGACGAGCTGGTTTTCTGTGTTCTTTTCTTACAGACGAGACCTTAAGGTTCATCCACCTGCCGAGCCTCTGGTGAGCCCCCTGCCCTGTGCCTGGTGCTACACTAGAAGCTGGGGTCAAGGCAGCAGCAAGACCTTCAAGGCACTCAGATCTGAAGTCTGCTTGAAAGCTGAACCATGCCACAGCCATGTTCTATTTCCCTCCAGCTAGGATTTTCATTTTATCTCTCTCCTCCAATAAGACTGGGACCTGCTCACATCCCTCTGCATCCTAAGAGCATGTTCTTCCATGGAAGGCATGTTACGGAATGGGATGTATCACTGGAGACGCAGGTAAGAAATCTGAAGCCAGTGACCTCATCTAGCCCCCAGCAGCCTCCGTCCTGGCTCTTGCCCCCACCGCAGGTACAAGGACAGAAGACCCATTGTCCTTAGAAGCCTATAGGATAAATGGAGAGCAAACGTGTCTTTGCTGGTTAATTCGCCTTGATAAGGAGTATTGTTTTATCTCCTGCCATCGCGAGGGTTTCAAGGGGTGAATTCTCCTGGGGACAAAGTCTGCCTTGTCTTTTTTGACTCACTGAGACGATGAAATTGACCTTTCATATACTCTGTGGTTGTCACAGCTCAAGTGCCAAGGTGTTAGGGAGGCTTGAGAATATTCCCCTTCCCCCCCAAAACAGGCGTGCCATCTACGGAAATGCTGTGTGTGTCTCTTCAGCTTCATGTCTAATTTTTAAAATTAAGACTGTATGGGTAAATTCTGTTTATATGGTAAACACAAAGACAGAACAATGACTCGCCTCCTACTCCCCAGCACCTCCTTCTACTTTTCCCTAGCCATGTCATTTGCATTTAGGGTTTGCTAAACTGGTGATATGGCAGTACCAATACTCTATTATGCTAATTATATTACATCCCAAGGACACAGTTTGCTGTAGGTTCACTCTGCCTTGTCCATGGTGCGGTTGGCCAGTATTATGACACATACCTACCACTGTCCGGGAAATTATAAAGGAGTCTTTCTACCCTAAAAGTCTCATGTCCTCTAACAGCTCACCCACGTTCCCACCTCCCACTCTCCCCAGGCAGGTGCTAATGCTTCCCCGCTCTCTAGCTTTACCTGTTCCAGAATGTCATAGAGGTCGGATCATCTCAATGGTCACTCACATCAGCATCTTTCACTTGGCATTGGGTTAACTTTTCCCTGCTTGTGTGACTTGATAGCTCATCTCTTTTTACTACTCAATAGTCTCTTCAGGTGCTAAGGATTGAACCCAGGGGCTTTCTCAGATGGGCAAGTGCTGTGCCACGGAGCAGCATCCACACCTTTCTGCCCAATAGCTTCTACTTTACTCTGAAAGCTTTTCATGTAACTACTGATATTCTCAGCCCAAATCCCATTTATTTTTTCATTATTTCCTATGAGATAACCTAATTTTAGAAAGGGCCTTATTGCATGTGGTATTTCAAAAACTAAAATGACTAAAAAGCAATTTCAAGTGTTTTTGGTAAGGTAGAGAAACAGAGCAAACTCTAATATGTCAACTGCGATTCAACTACTTTAAGTTGGCATGGGCTTCAGGCAGCATTGGTACTCATGGCAATTGTATCCAGATGAATTTATATAGTCATATAATTAGTGTTACTCCAGAAATAAATGGTCTCTTGGTTTTTTACCCAGCAAGATTAGAGGTCCCACTTACAGTAATAGCATTCACAAATTCACATTTGATACATGGGTCCCACATTTTTCCTTTATATTTCTAGAACAAAATGTACCTTATCTGTCTAGCAAAGTAATATGGAAAGAGGTGTTCCTGTCCAGTCATACCGGGACACTGAGGCTGGGACGGGAGCTCACTGTGGCGAGTACATATCACAGCCTGTGCTCAGAGTCAGCCTGAGCTGACTGTCTTTGCATGCCCTGGAAAGATGTGTTCTTAAATGTCCATTTCTCCCAAGATTCGGTGTATTCACACAACCAGTGATAGTTTCCGCCTTCAAAGATGTTCTGGAGGTCAAAGGGGAAAACCTTTGGAGTATATCGACAGCAGAGGCAACAACAAAACCCCTCTGCAAACAACAGTAATCCACGCAGGGTCTTTGGTCCATGGAGAAAGGAAGGGCTGAGTCCATTTAGGTGACCATTAAATTACTCTTGACTATCCGCAGTGGCAAAAGCAGGATGGATCCTGTCACAGATGTTCCTAGACATAGCCAAGTCTGTTCAGGAAGCCAGCTTCACTGAGGTGAAGGGAAATGAAAAGGTCAGGGGTCATGTGAAATGGCACAGAATTGAGCACATCCCTTCTCCTTTTTGAACTCAACCCCTGCTATGACAGGCCACTGATAATAACTGCAATCTTCACTCTGCCTGCCTCAAAAGTCCCATTTCCGGAGCAAGTGTCTGTACCAGAGAGGTCATTAGAAGACAGTGTGATTCCCAAGTGTGTGGGGGGGGGGGCGGGCGGAGATCGACTTTAGGGATATTCTGAAACCGTCCCCCACTTCATTGTTTTGAGACAGGGTCTCTCACAGAATCTGAAGCCCACTTTGTGGTAAGACTGACTGGCTGCCTAGCTCTAGAAATCGTCCTGTCTCCCATGACTGGAATTACAGGTGTGCCCTAACATTCTAGGCTTTTAAAGTGTGTTTGAGGAGTCTAAACTTGGGTCCTCATGCGCGCATTGCAAGCGCTTTCCTGTCTGAGCCATCTCTACTGCCCTTGTGTGTGTTTTCCAGTTTCGGTTAACAGTTAACTTGCGGTTAACTGGAGGATTCCGAATCACCCTTTGCCTCTCCCCAGTCCTCTTTCTCCTCTTATATAATTCCACCATAAGATACTAATAACACAAGCAATCTAAATCCCAGATTCCTCGTTATCCAACGTGAGCCAGGAGTTCCTGCATCTGTGCCTCCGCCAGCGGGCTCTTGACCCTCTGTGCTCCAGCTGTGGATCATGTTTCTTCCTGTGTCGTTGCTGCTCTGCTTTCTCTGTGCCTCTGCATCAACGATGTCCTGAACTTGGCAGCTATTACAGGATGATGACCTGTAAGAGGAGGCAGCAGCAAGACCCACTGGCCTATTGTTCTTGTTTAGAGAGGACAAGTCTTCTTGCATTCCTGAGTTACAGTTCCGTAAAAGAAGAGGAGGAGAAGGAAGAGGCAGAGAAAATAAATGTAAATCTCATAACACTCTAGACATTGAACATCATTTTTTTAAATCATGATTTACACACTTGACTTTTGCATAGCAAATTAGCTTTATCAAAGGTAGGTTACAAACCCAGCACCAACCTGATCCCTTACACTTTTGTATATCCAACAAAAATACAGCTGTGAATCCTAGAAAGCATGCTTGAAGGGATTATGGGAAGGGAAGCCATGGAAGACGGGAAGACAGCAATATGATGCTGGGCAAGCTGTTATCTAAAGCGATACCGGGAGGGCTCTGCTACTGAAAACTACAGATCCCAGCAGAGACGATCACCTGTTAGGGCTAGAAAGGAACTCAATTGCATTTTTACTGTTTTAAACAAAGCAATGGTGAGTTAAGGTCCATTTAGCAGTTCCGTGATAGAGGATCAGAAATGAGGTAAGCTTAGTGGTTAGTGATCATAGACTGGGCAGTGAGAATGGATTTGAAGCCAACTTGCCCTTTTAACCATTAATTTCAATAAACGAATCCAATGCTCAAGCCCTGCGTGTGGCAAAGGAGATAATGTTCATCTCAGTATTCTTGACATTTTGATTTGATAAAATAAACAGAAATTGCTTAGTTCAGGTAGAGTTTTATGAACTGTTCCCTTTTATTCAATTGTTAAAGATTCTGAATGAAGGGGCACACCACACAGAGCACCATTGAATGTTCTCACCCTAAAACCCCATATATTCTGAAGAAGCTGGGAAAGCCAGTGTCCTGTCAGCAACAGCATGGGAGATACCATCTTAAATAAGCGAAAGCTGAAACTGTGCGTTGGCATCCCCATTAGAGCAAGGATTTGGAAGTATGGCTTCTGATTATTTCTCCAGGACTTGGGTCAAAAGTGCATCACTAATGCTGTCTTCGTTGCTATTGAAAGTGGATTCCATTTTACATCAATCCTATTTACAGCAGCTTTCCCGGGACTCAAACAAAACAAGGCTCACCCGCCCACTGGCTTGCAAGCTTTGCAAAGTACAGTCTTCTATTGTGACATGTATCCTGGCAGCATGCCACTGTCTGCCCAACCCTACTGTAGGGTCAGAACCACCCCCACGCCCTACCTACCCCCCAAACCCCGTAAAATCACTGAATTCTTAGGACGGTACTAGGAACCTGGAAGAAGCATTCAGCATCTCTCTCGAGATGAGTAAACTACATGGAAGACTATGGGTATTTTATGATCTGTTATAGATGGATAATTCAAGATGCAGTTTGGTTTTTTGGTTTTTTTTCCTTAAAGAAAGCTTAGCAGTGAAACTCATTTTCCACAACTCCCGAATGGTTTTGCAATGAATCTGTGAACTTAATCAGCTTCCTCTGTTGAGGCAATCTCCCCTAATTGTGTTCTTGTGTGAAATATACATGAAGACAAAAATACTACCTTTCTGGAAAGAGAGTGTGGACCTCGGTTACCCGGCTAGGAACGGTCTAAGTCCCCGGTGAAAAGGAGCCAGGATTGTGCTGACTCGGGCCGTATTTGCCTTCTGGATAATTGTTCTCAGACTCTTCCTTCTTGGTCAGCAGTAGGACAACGAAAATCCTGAACTAAGTATCTCTGGGACCGTAATGGTCTAGTAGCTAAGGGGACTGCCAAGTAGATCTCGAGAAATTTCCACAAGACTTCTCCAGAGCGATGAGAAACGATAGCAGAAATGAACGAGGAGATGGAACACAGAACCCGGAAGTCTTGAATTCACCTCCTTTTCCCGGTCTCTAGGAGTCAATGCCCTCTTTTCCTTACCCTCCATGCCAATAATGGCGGGTTCAGAGGGGACCTGCCAGGAATGTAACGCGGCTGATGACTGTCAGCTGGCAAAGCAACCTGGCAAAAAGGAGAGCAGGCTTAGAAGGTTCCTGTTCCTCTGTTCTTGGGCAGAGGTGACCTTCAGAGCTACAGGGCCCGTTTGTGGGAGTCGGTGGGTGTGGCCTGAGAGGGAGATTCAACAATTGGAAGCTGACCTTTCAGAGTCGAGATTTTTTCCATCCTGGAAAATAAGAACTGAGCATAGGAATTAAATTAGAAGTGGAAGGGTTTCCCAGGGCTCTCATCTGTCCCAGCTGCATCCACAGAGCCTGGCCAGGCCTTGCTCCTGTTCTTCCCGGCTAGGATTCCTGCTTATCCCTCT